AGTAAAATGCCAAGTGCTACATTAGATGTGCTGAATATAACAATGGTAACCAACATAGATTTTGGAATTGACTTTGTCCATATGGAATCCAATCCAATGTGGAGATTGTCCATGTGTGTGCGTATGTGTATGTGTCAATTCTGTAATGTGTCAGCAGCTGAAAAAAGGAGAGAGGGAATACAAATATTATATCTAACTTTTTCTCACATCAGAAAGTCATGGAATTGAAGAAAAGCAGATAGTAAAGAATAATTAAATGCAGTGATAATAAAGATAAGACGTTCTTTTGAGCTAGCAGCTTAGAAAAAAGTACCTATGTTCATTGCTTAAAATCTATTTTTTCAGCGAAATACTGGTATACATACCTGGTTGCAATGGTGTCTTAGTATGATGGCACAAAATAAGAACGCCCTGCCTACATCGTGCCAAAATATTCAGGTTTTATATTATTCATATTATTTTATTTATACTAATATCCAGTTACCTGAAGTGGGCCTAGAAACAATTTTGCATGAACATAACTGTTGAAGTATTATATGTCAGGCACAAAGAATCAGGATCTCTCATAATTTCCAGTTCAGAAGATTTATTTCTCAAAACGATACACAAGATTCTAGTCAACTCACTGTCAACACTAAATTAGCACTACATAAGACAATGAAAATCAAAAAAGAGCTGAACTTAGAGTGTTTATATACACATAACAATTCTACGCTGAGTCTTCTCTTGACTCCGCCCCTAGGCTCTGCCAACTCTTCTATATTATATTACTGAGCATTCAGCACCTCATTGTAGACAACCTTCTGCAATATATATTACTAACAAGTTCCAAACTTTTTTCCAGGTTAGCCCAGATAGCCCTGTAAAATATAACCCTGTTAAGTATTTAGGAACTTGTGACCATTCATAGCCTCACCCCTCTACAACTTTCAGAGTTTATGATATTGTACATTACACATTCCTTGTAAACCAGACATTTTGTGCTCTAATCAGGATGGGTGGATTACACTGAAAGCTTTTCATTTCCAGAAAACATCATACATTTTTGGTTGAATAGGTTTTGCAGAAGAACTGCACAAGCCTGTGAAGTGTAAGTAAAGAGAGTGGAACCAATTTACTGTATATACCACAAGTCATTATAGATCTTTGGTATATTCCTTTGGAGGGATTCCGGGCAATCCCAGCCCCTTCACTAAAATGAGCTCCAATATTAGCAGATCTGTTTTGACAGCTCAGGGTCAATATTGGTTGGTTGGTTGGTTGCCTAGCAATATCGGTCTCTTGGTCAGTTGATACTCCTGTGGCAAAAATAGCCTATATTTTCTCAAGTTGCTGCACTGATGCTCCCCACCAAGATTTGTTGAATTTTCTTGTATCCAACAGAAAAGATATTAATGGCATCTTCCTAATGGATGACTAAATTGTAATTTAAATCATTCAATCCTTCTAATTAATGGTTTAAATAAACCCCACCCTGCTAATAATGCACTGTTCATAGTCTCATCTTCCTTATTAACACACTGATGTTCCTAAATGCAAAGCCCAGAAGGGTAGCTGCTTAGGATTATTGAAGAAACAAATGAGGTTTTTGGGACATGCATTTCTGAAGACTAGAGTCTATTCCATCAGCTCAGACTTCCATTCAGTTTGGTATTTATGTGGTTAATGGATGTGTATCAGTAAGGGTTCTTCCCCCCCCCCCCCTTAAGTTCTGGATGACGCACAACTCCAGCTGACAATTAGAAAATGCTTAGTAAAAAGGTCAGTATATGAGGGAGAGAGATGGGATTGTGGACAAAGTTCATCATTTGAAGTATTCTGCGTACAGTAACACACACACCCGCCAAATACACCGAGAGCATCAAGCACCTCAGATTGATTTATTATCTCATTCTCTTTCTCATGAGAACATTTGAAATATAGGCCTGGTGTAAATTGGAGATATGGAATTATTTAAATATCTATCCTCTGCTTGGATGTTTGTAACTGTTTTGGACTGTATTGCTGCTCTCCTTGGAACTAATATACAGGTAGTCCTCAACTTATGACTACAGTAGAGCTCAAAATTTCCTGTGCTAGGCAAGATAGTTGTTAAATGAATTTTGCCCCTTTCTTGCTACAGTTGTTAAATGAAACACTGCAGTTGTTAAGTTGGTAGCACAATTGTTAATGAATCTGGCTTCTCCATTGACTGCTTGACGGAAGGTCACAATAGATCAGGGGTGCCAAACACATGGCCTGCGGGCTGGATACGGCCTGCGCAGCCATGGCCACCCCAGCCCCACAAGAGCAAAAACAATCTCGATACGTAACGATATGGCCCACGATGCGATCAGGTTTGACACCCCTGCAATTGATGATCACATGACTCCAGGACACTGCAACAGTCATAAATACAGGCCAATTGCCAAGGGTCTGAATTTTGGTCACATGATAACGGGGATGCTTCAAGAGCCACATATGTGAAATACAGCCATAAGTCACTTTTTTCAGGGCTGTTGTAACTCACTAAATGAATTGTTGTAAGTCAAGGACTATTTGTGTTCCAGGAAGTGGTTATATTTCTCCATTTCTACTTTGACCTTCCTTTGTTCAACATATTGTAGGAAATGACCAGGCTGAGCCTGAAGGAGGGGTCAAATGCATCATCAGTCTTGACTCCCTTTGAGCCCACAAGAGATCTAAATGCAGTCCACCTTAAATTCTCTTGACTCTTATCTACACCAATTTGCTTTGACAGCTAGTAGTTCAGATTCTTGCAGAGAGCTTAAGCTTGCAATAAATTTTATATTCATGTGAACTGCCTTGAACTGCCTGGATTTCATGATTTCCCGAGCTTGGCACCTATAGTGTTGTGACTAAAGCAGCTTGTCCCTAGATATTATTTGTCAGAAAGTCAAGTCCATAATCTTTTTCCCTTTCTTTTCTTTCCAGTTACTTTTGGGATAAGGAGGGTGGGAGAGAGAGGAAACATTAGTGTTATATTCTATCATATACAAGCCAGATCTTTTGACATAAAATTATTCTTGGCTTCAACGGAGGAAATCTGGGAGCAATCTGTGTTTATGCAGTTTTAAAGAAGAAAAGTATCTCTGCAAGTCAGAAGACTCACAAGCTTTTAAATTTTATGCTATAAAAGTGGTCGTCTGGGGAAGAATACCTTAATTATAACAAAACCCTTTGTGCTCTTGTTAAACACAATTTAAAAATAACAATTTAAATGTTAGTTAACGCAGCTGAAGAACTTGTTTTTTATAAAAGGCTCGAAGGCCAAAATATTGTGCTGTGGAGCTTTGTTGTGGGTAGTGATACAATCTCAGTTGTAGTACTTTGAGAAATGGGCATCTCCATAGTTCCAGGATACATGCCTAATTATATAGCTTAGACTAGTCATTCTATCTTAAATAGCAGGCTTTCCCTTTTACATTACTAGCAACCCCAACAGAGTTTTTCATATGGAAAATCACATCACAATTTAATGCTCTTTGTTCAACATTGTCTAACAAGGCTAAACAAAATGGAAAACAACAAACTTTGAAAAATACCCAGTTTGGTCACACAAATATTTACAGCTGTGTCTAATTCCAATAAAGAGAACCAGTGCTAAAGGACTAAAAAAAATGTATTAAGAGAAGTTTTTCACTCAGCTAAATTGAAATCACATTCTATTATGAAAATTGTTAAGTAACACATTTTAGCTGGATGGTTTTTAACTAAAAACCTCCCCAGAATTGTACTGAGTTTCACATAACTGCAGATGGTTCAGTTAGTTTCACATGATGTTTTTTGTTGTAACAGTTATGAAACATTGAGAAACTTGGACTTCTATTTGCAGATAGGTTCCAAGGAATTTCCAAGCTCCTTTGAAGATATTTTCGGTGTTTCATTATTATTATTTTCTTCAGCTGTAATGCTCAGGTTAATACGTAGAGCCTATAAGGAAATCCCATATAAACTGAATTTATATGTCAGGGGTGGGCAACTATGGCCCCTTACGACTTGTTGACTTCAATTCCCATAATTCCTGAGCCAGCAAGAAGGCAATGGTAAACTGTGTCCATAATGTTGCCAGAAAATGATAGCTTGCAGGATATTTTACCTGTGTAGTATGTCCCAATTAGATCAGATCTGGTGCATTCACAAACTGAACTGAACTGACAAATAAGCTGTTTATACAATCCGTGGAGCATTTGCAGTCGCTGGCTGCACTTAAGAGTTCAAAGCCTGTGTTTATATATGCAATAGGTTGAAATGCTACTCACCCTCCCCCCTATATTCTTGAGACTATTTCATGTGAGACAATTTACAGATACATCATACTATAATTTTGTCTAGATAGTTATGAAAACTTTCTAAGGGGGCTCCAGATAAAGGATTCACCAAACATATTATTGTAATAACAATGTAGAAGATGATCAGGCTGAGCTGGAAGGCAGAGTTAAATGCGTCATTAGTTTGGAATCATTGCACAGCCACAAAAAAACCAAGTCCACTCCTCCCCCCATGAATTTTGTTGAGACTTATCTAGCGCGAACTTAGCTTTGGCCATTAGTTGATCAGATTTCTTGTGTATAGGTAGCAATAATAATTCTTCTGTGTCAGGCACAAGAAACAGGGTTGTTTAAATGAATACAAGTTCATTCCATGCTAGCTCTCTACAAGAATCTGATCTACTAACAGTCAAATTGGTAAATTAAAGTCAAGCAAATTCAAGGTTGGCTGGATTTAGATTTCTTGTGGGTGCGAAGGGACTCCAAACTGATTATATGCTTGACACTTCCCTCCGGCTCAACTGGGTCATCTCCTACATCCTGTGTTTTGAACTCAATGAGTGTTCCTGGTTCTTTGCACCTGAAGCAATCAGCTTTTAGCATTGTTAGTAGTTTCCATAATTGTTTTTAAATGTGCTACTCACTGTGAAGATGTTTTCTTTAAGGATTATGTAAAAAGAAAATAAACCCACCACCTAAACATACTTTTTCCTTCTTTTTGCATTGCAGTACAGAATTGGACAGCTGTACATGATCAGTAAACATAGCCATGAGCAGAGTGATCGTGGAGAAGGTGTGGAAGTGGTACAGAATGAGCCCTATGAAGATCCAAACTACGGGAATGGTCAGCTGACAGAAAAACGGGTCTATCTGAATAGGTAAACATTCCTGTAAGCGTTCTGCCATTGCATCCTCCTCCCCTAATGCATAAGCAGCTTTGGAAGTAAACTCTGGCTTTAGTGCACTTTGCACCAATCCTCTGTTTGTGGCTTTTTGAGAATCCCACAGTAGGACATACCCTGAGAATGGCCAGGACTCCTCCGATAAATTACATGCTCCCTGGTTCAGATATGTGGCGAGTCGCTTCCTTCCTCCATGTTAAAAACTTTGGAGAAAGGAAAGTTGTGAAAATGAACAGAGTCATGTCAGATATTTATGGGTTCATACATTATGTTAAGTATATGTGATCACCTTTTGCAATCTTCTGACAAGCAAAGTCAATGGGGAAGTTATATTCACTTAAGAACTACGTTGCTAATTTGAGAACTGCAGTGTTTCATTTAACAACTGTGACAGTAAAAAGGAACAGAACTCACTTAACAGCTGTTGCATAGCAGTTGAAAATTTGGGCTCAGCTGTGGTCACAAGTTGAGGACTAGCTCTACTGTATGTGATCTGGATCATCAGTGGGAATTGGTACTGATCAAAACTTATGCAATTTACAAGTTACACTTATCAATATTTGTGCAGATTTGCATGAGCAAACCCCACACAATCTCAAAGATTTACGTCAGGGTGTTGTGTAAACAAACTCTCATTGAAATCCAACACATTATGTGAATGCTTGAAGATAGTTTTAATGGACCGGAGTATGATCACTCTAGTTTTTTGCTCAAAGAAATCAGCGATTAATTTGTTTTTTTTCTCCTATGGTTTCAACAGAAGAGAAAATGATATTGCTGTAACTTGAGGCTCAGAGAAGTAAATGCATCTGAAACTCCCAAATCAGTAACAAAAACCTTTTGCAAGGAGAAAACTTGCTTTTAAAATAAAATTCTTTTTGGTACCAAGGTCAAAATCTGACCTTGTTTCCATTTGTTCAACATCAGCAACCTGGATAAAAATCAGTCTGGCTCAAAGCATAGGAAGAACTGCTTACGACAGGAATATCCAACCTAGCTTCATAAGAAATGTATTTTAGTGAGTTCCTTAGGTGGCAAAATATCTTGGTAAAGAACAGCACCATCATGAATGATTACTAACCTTGTGCATCACTGTCCCCAAAGCAGTACTATTAATGATTTATCAAGTGAAATACTTTTTCTTGTCTGATACTTTTTAAAACAAAGTCTGCATATTTTGTAAGATACTCAAACCTTGTTACTTTTACTGCCATTCAAGAGATATATTATGGTTTCTAAAAAATATACATATTGCTTCACCTACCACTGTGATTTGATTAGTGGTAGTCTAACTAAATATTGATACTTTTTTTTTTTGGCTTCTAAGCCTGGGGTCCATTGACTTCTATTAAGCTTGTGACCTTGGTAACAGACATAGCAATGATGTGCCCCTTACATCATGCAGTGCAGCTCTAGAATTTTGATACTTCTGACCTTTTGTAATTGTAGCATTTACGCTATACCAGCTATGTTCAAGTTGAAAAATCCGTTGAGGCAAAATGTTTCTTTAAGCTCAACCACAGTGTTGCCCTCAAAACAAAAGCTGAGTATGTTAATCAGCCTTGCGCACAGACATCTTCATTCCCAGCATGTCAAGAAATATACACTGTTCAAAAAAATAAAGGGAACACAAAAATAAAACATCCTAGATCTGAATGAATGAAATATTCTTATTAAATACTTTGTTCATTGCATAGTTGAATGTGCTGACAACAAAATCACACAAAAATTATCAATGGAAATCAATTTAGCAACCTGTTATGACTCCCCTTCAAAATTCAAACGAACAAAACAGAAAGCAGCCGTTTCACAATTAAATCAAATGGAAAGAAGTCTTACAAGATAACGGCTGGCAGAAACCACAGCATAAATCTTTACTCTGTCCGGCAAACCAGTCCTGGCAATAAATCTCCAGTCTCAGAGCTCCTTGCTGTAACGTCCTCACTCAAATAGTCATTTTGTTCCTGGCAAAATGTACCAGCCCAGCTGTGTCCTTTTATACTCATTGAGGCAATGTTGCTAATTTACTGACTTTCTCTTCTCATTCGCTCCAGCTGATTTTGCCTTCTCAACCGTCTTCTATTTTTTACATTTAACCACAAATTTTCCAAGTTCTCATCTCCACTAGAAGACTCTCTCAAAACTTCCCTGTCAGCCATTCCCGGCTGTTGATCAGATAAGGAACCAGAGGAGGTCAAAGGTCCTGACAATTCTAATACATCAGATCTGTCGTCCTTTGTCACGTCCATCTCCTCATCCTGGTTATCAGTCCAATCACTAAGCCAGGCCGGCTCATATTTTTCTGCGATGACCTCCTCACTTGAACTCATATCAATCACAGGAGCTGAATCCAAGCCCGGAGCCACAACAGCAACCCATGGAGGTCTGGATTTGGAGTTACACTCAAAATTAAAGTGGAAAAAAACACTATAGGCTGATCCAACTTTGATGTAATGTCCTTAAAACAAGTCAAAATGAGGCTCAGTAGTGTGTGTGGCCTCCACGTGCCTGTATGACCTCCCTACAACACCTGGGCATTCTCCTGATGAGGTGGCGGATGGTCTCCTGAGGGATCTCCTCTCACACCTGGACTAAAGCATCCCCCAACTCCTGGACAGTCTGTGGTGCAACGTGGCGTTGGTGGATGGAGTGAGACATGATGTCCCAAGATGTGCTCAGTTGGATTCAGGCCTGGGGAACGGCCCGGTCAGTCCATAGCATCAACATCTTCGTCTTGCAGGAACTGCTGACACACTCCAGCCACATGAGGTCTAGCATTGTCTTGCATTAGGAGGAACCCAGGGCCAACCGCACCAGCATATGGTCTCACAAGGGGTCTGAGGATCTCATCTCGGTACTTAATGGAAGCAGGCTACCTCTGTCAAGCACAGGGAGGGCTGTGCAGTCCCCTAAAGAAATGCCACCCCACACCATTACTGACTCACTGCCAAACCGGTCATGCTGGAGGATGTTGCAGGCAGCAGAACGTTCTCCATGGCATCTCCAGACCCTGTCACGTCTGTCACATGTGCTCAGTGTGAACCTGCTGTCATCTGTGAAGAGCACAGGGTGCCAATGGCGAATTTGCCAATCTTGGTGTTCTCTGGCAAATGCCAAACGTCCTGCATGGTGTTGGGCTGTAAGCACAACCCTAACCTGTGGACGTCAGGCCATACCACCCTCATGGAGTCTGTTTCTGACCGTTTGAACAGCCACATGCACATTTGTGGCCCACTGGAGGTCATTTTGCAGGGCTCTGGCAGTGCTCCTCCTGTCCCTCCTTGCACAAAGGTGGAGGTAGCGGTCCTGATGCTGGGTTGTTGCCCTCCTAGGGCCTCCTCCACATCTCCTGATGTACTGGCCTGTCTCCTGGTAGCGCCTCCATGCTCTGGACACTACGCTGACAGACACAGCAAACCTTGCCACAGCTCGCATTGATGTGCCATCCTGGATAAGCTGCACTACTTGAGCCACTTGTGTGGGTTGTAGACTCTGTCTCATGCTACCACTAGAGTGAAAGCACCGCCAGCATTCAAAAGTGACCAAACCATCAGCCAGAAAGCATAGGAACTGAGAAGTGGTCTGTGGTCACCACCTGCAGAACCACTCCTTTATTGGGGATGTCTTACTAACTGCCTATGCTTTCCACCTGTTGTCTATTTCATTTGCACAACAGCATGTGAAATCGATTGTCAATCAGTGTTGCTACCTAAGTGAACAGTTTGATTTCACAGAAGTGTAATTGACTTGGAGTTACATTGTGTTATTTAAGTGTTCCTTTTATTTTTTTGAGCAGTGTATCTTTATCTGACTGAAGAAAAATGAAGAACCTATTGAGATAGATGTTTTGGAAGGGATTGTCAGAGCTTGCATAAGACTGGTGCTTGCTTACTTTTATTGACATCAATGGAACATCTAAGTACCAACAAAATGTAAGAGTTACCTGAAAGGCTGAAACCTGCCAGGCTTGGTTTGTTCAAAGAAAAAAAAAACCAAGAAAGCCTTTTGAAAAGCACTTTTGGGACCAGCAACCCTGACCTGGATGATTGAGTATCTATAGACATTTGCCAGGCTGAAAGTTTGCCTCCAGCTGGCCTGATGTTACAAAAAGTATGAGGGAAGTATCTCAATCAGGAAGAGTATCCAGAATAATGCACTCAGCATAATTCTTCACCCACAAATAAATATCAGAAAACCCTGCATTAGAATCCCACAAAGAATAATAGTTTCTTTAAACGAAGCTTTAACAAGGCTTGGAGGCCACCATATATAGGGCAAACAGATGTTTTCCAAGGGAAACTGGACTTACCTGTGAGAATAAAGTGGATCAGGATTTTGCCTCAGAACATCTGTTTCACATCTGTATTTCAAGTGAGGCATTGCCATGCAGAGCTCCACATAAAATAGCCTAGTTCTAATAAAAAAACATTATTTGACACAGATTGAAGATTTGCAGTGTTGTTCTTATGAATGTTGTCTTAATTGCTTTTGTGATCGTTTTATCTTTATTAGCATAGAGTGGATGCTGTAGAGTAGGAAGCTGAGCACCTTTTCTCTAAATAATTTAACTACTGCAGGGCAAAGTTATTGCCATTTGCAATGAAAAAAATAATAATTATAATGTTCTAAGCCTTTGAGGCATATTTATTATAATTTCTCAGACTTTGTTGTTTCCAAGTACTAGGAAATTGAAAGTGGATTGCTAAATATTTGAAAACCTTAATCTGTTTAGTGTGGATATTTCTCCGCCAATTACAATGGCAGTTGGTACATCTCTTATTGAATATGACTACCTTCATTTTAGAGTAAAATGAAGGGTTTTATTTTATTATTGCTAATGGCTGGAGACTCTGGGTAGAGGGTCTCTTTCTTGAGCAGAGTTCCTTCCAAATCTGTTATTCTGTTATTCTAATCTCTGAGTCATGGAAAGAATGATGACATCATCTACCAAATGGAAGATGGAAATAGGCTGATAT